TAAAATCTTATTTTGTTCATGTAGATACTGATTGCCTAGCATACCATCTTCCCAGTCAGGACTTTGGAATCATTCTGTGGACTGGGAATCCTGGATGAGGAGGGGGAGAATTCCCAGATTGGGGAATAGCCAAGGTGGAGTTCCTGGCTTCCTTCAGATCCCAGATAAAATCCCACCTGCAGGAAGCCTTTCTAGATCCCCCTTCATGCTAGTCTTTTACTTCTGTTGGTTTTCTCCAACTTAACCTGTATATATTTTGTTTGTACCTAATGTTTTCATGTTGTCCTCCTCCTGTTCCACCCCTCCATTATATATATATATTTTTTTCTCATATAAATGTTATGGTTATGTTCCATAACATAAGAGTTTTTTTTATTAATTTATTTTGATTTATCAACAATCACTTCCATATTCTTTTGAGTTGAAAATTTTTCTCCCCCTTCATCCCCCCCCAAGACGGCACACAATCTGATATAGGCTTTACATTTACATACCCATGAAACATATTTTCACATTAGTGAAGTTGTAAGTAAAAATTAAAACCAATAGGAGGAACCATCAGAAGGATGACACAAAAGTCAACGGAAGGTAAAAATAAGTGATAGCGATTCAACTTCCATAGTTCTTTCTTTGGATGTGGACAGCATTTTCCATCACAAGGCCTCTGGAGATGTCTTAGATCCTTGTAATGCTGAGAAGGGTTCAGTTTAACAATATTAGTCATTGCATAATGTGTACAAAGTCCTCTTGGTTCTGCTCACTTCACTCAGCATCAGACCATGTAAGTCTTTCCAGGTTTTTCTGAAGTCAGCCTGTTCGTCATTTCTTACAGCACAATAGTATTCCATTACATTCACATACCACAACTTGCTCAGCCATTCCCCAATTGATGGGCATCCTCTCAATTTCCAATTCTTTGCCACCACAAAAAGAGCTGCTATGAATATTTTTGTACATGTGGGTCCTTTTCCCATTTGTTTGATCTCTTTGGGATATAGCCCTAGAAGTGCTATTGCTGGATGAAAGGGTATGCACATTTTTGTAGCCCTTTGGGCATAGTTCCAAATTGTTCTCCAAAATGGTTGGATCATTTCACAACTCCACCAACAATGTATTAGTGTTCCAATTTTCCTACATCTTCTCCAACATTTATCATTTTCCTGTTTTGTCATGTTGGCCAACCTGATAGGTGTGATGTGGTACTTCAGAGTTGTTTTGATTTGCATTTCTCTAATCAATAATGATTTAGAGCATTTTTTCATGTGACTATAGATGGCTTTAATTTCTTCATCTGAAAACTGGCTGTTCATATCCTTTGACCATTTATCAATTGGGGAATGGCTTGTATTCTTATAACTCCCCCCCAATTATATTGCAAGCTCCTTGAAAATAAGAGCTGGCTATCTTTTGTCTGCCCCAGGGCTTTGCCCTGCATCAGCTGCATCTGCCACCTAGTAGGCTCTTGATGAATGCTTATTTATCAAGGACTGACTGTCCTCTTCCAGGAAGTTTTCTTTGATTCTCAGCGTTAGTAACTTTTACCCTTCTGACTTCACATAGCATAGATATGGGCTTTAAATGTAGTGAAAAGTGGGGTGAAGAAAGGCATTCCAAGCATAAGAACATCATGAACAAGGGTGAAGAAGTGGGAAGACAGCGCAGAGAACAGTCTAGTTGGGTTAGAGTGGAAGGGACTGATATGCAATAAGGCTGGGATTGGATGATGCTAAATTGCAGATGGCTTTGACAATAAAAGGAGTCTGAAATTTAATCCATAGGCAATGGGGCCACCAAAGATTTTTTTTTTTTAGGGACAGCTAGGTGGTGAAGTGGATAGAGCTCTGGCCTTGGGGCCAGGAGGACCTGAGTTCAAATCCAGCCTCAGACACTTGACACTAGCTGTGTGACCCTGGGAAAGTCATTTAACCCCATTGCCTCACCAAAAAGCAAAAAAAAAAAAAGACTTTTTTGAGCAAAGGAATGACAAGTCACGTCAATGCAAAAGCAAGGTTAGTTCTCTGACAGTGGTATGAAGGCTGGACTGCTGGGGATGGATCAAGTAAGGCTTCATAGAGGAACATTTGAACATTTGAGGTGAGATTTCAAATGGAAAAGATGTGAGGAGAAGATATTGAAGGGAAAAGGCATCCACAAAACAGTAAGGAGTCCAGTGCGGCCAGAGCTTACATTCAGTGCAAGGAAGTAAAGGAAACGAGTCTTAAAAGGTTTGTTGGGATCTCATCGTGGGAGGCCTCAGATGAACCACTACACATATTTGAGTAGACAAATGTAAACGAGGGTGGCGGGCTCTGTTACGCTAACTGGGAATTCTCAAAAGGGCAGCCCTAGGTTACATTAAGGAATCAATCCCAGGCATGTAGCCAGTGAAGCACCTGGGTGATGCTTAATGTTTTTTTGTTGTTATTCATCCTTTGTTCTAGAAGAGGACCAATGACATCAGGAGGGTGATGTCTTGACTTATAACTGAATTGGATTTAAGTGAGGCAGGGCTGTGCAAAGTCACCAGCCCTGCTCTCTCCTCCAGCATCATCGGAGTCCAGTGTCAAGAAAAAGGTCAGGACGACTGATGATGGCCCAGAATATTTTTGTTAATGTGTAGATAAAACAGTGAGGGCTGTTTCCAAAAGCTATCCCATGCTTCCACATGGGCCCTCCAGTACCCCACTTCTCCTGTCCCTTGCCCTCCTTCCTCTCTTAAAGTCATAACAGTCTGGACTCACTTCACCTCACTCGTGGCCAGAAGGAAGGCCAGGGTTTGCCACCTGTGGGGGTCTCCTGAGGGTTGTCTGTCACAAACAGGAAGCTGTGGGTAGGGGAAAGCAGGGGCCAGTGTCAGGTCGGGAAATAGCAACAAAGGTATGAAGCCTCTGTAGGCTGGCCCTTACCTCCTCGGAGCCTAGATGTGCAAATAATGAAAGGAGAAAAAAAAACCCCACTACTAGATCTGGAGTATGGAAACCTGGGTTCTAATCTTGGCTACATCCCTGACTTGCTATGTGACCTCGGGCAAGTTCTTTTCCCTGGGTCTTAGTTTCTTTTTATGTAAAATGTGGACTTTCTTGATTAATATAATGACCAACCGTAATTTCAGACAACTGATGAAGGAAGCTTGCTACCCACCTCCTAGCTGGAAGATGATAGACTCAAGGTGCAGAATGAATCACATTTTCAGATGAGAATTTCCCAGTATGGGAATTTGTTTTGATTGGGCATATTTATTACAAGAGTTTCATTTTTCTTTTTTTCAGTGGGGTAGAGGGAGGGTGTAAAGGGCACACCTAGGGTTGCAAAAAAAAAAAAAGGGGTCATTGAAGTATTTTAAAGAATGTACAAGAGAGAATATAAGGTGAGAAGGGAACAGACCAGTGTGAAAGATTTGAAAGCTATATGATGAATTTATTATGTACTTAAAAGGAAAAGCAAGCTGCACATAATAGACACTTGCAGTTTTGTATATAATCCCTTTTTTCTGTTCTACTTTGTATATACAAATGCTCATCTTATCCGGCATTTATTAAGTGCAGAAAAGAAAATGAGGGAGTTTGATTAGATCAGAGGTTCTCAAAGCATTCTTCTCAGTGGGTCTATGAGGTCAAAGCTATTTTCATAGTTATACCAAGATATTTAAATTTCTAATACAGTAAATGTTGGTAGCTATAACCCACATAAACAAAAACTCTTTGTGGTCCTCAATCATTTTTAAGAATATAAAGTATAAAGAGTATAAAGAGTGTAAAAGGGATCAAAAAGTTTGAGTACCACTGTATTAAATGATTTCTAAAATTCCTTCCAGCTCTAACAATCTGTGTTCCAAGTTCCTTTTTTAGCTCTAACATTGTGTTCAAGACACTGCATCTCTTGGCTCTGGGCATTCTCTGGCTGAATCCCATGCCTGGAATGCTCCCCCCTTCTCTCCTGGGACTGCTGACCTCCCTGGCTTCCTCTAAGTCACAATTTAAATCCCAGCTTCTACAGGAAGTTTTCCCCAGCTGCTCCTAATTCCAGTGCTTCCCTTTGTTAATTTTTTCCTGTTTATCCTGTGTATAGCATGCTTTGTTTGCATGTTATCTCCTCTATTCAATTGTAAGCTCCTTCAGGGCAGGGATTGTATTTTGTGTCCTTGTATGGCCCCAGTGCTTAGGTCAGTGCCTGGCACACTGTAGGTACTTAGTAAGTGTTTATTGATTGATCGATCTTTGTGCCCCCTAGTGTCCAGAATAGTTCCTAGGACATTGTAGGCCCTTAATAAGTGTTTCTTGACCTGAAATTAATTGGGTGAAAAAGGTAGATCATTGGCCTGTCTGGTAGTGGGGAGGAAGTCCTGATCCTGGCAGCTGTATGTCTCCAGAGACCTCGTTGCTTCTAAAAGGCGTATTCACGGAGTGTGAATATATTGCCTAACCTACAGCTTTTTCTATGTCCTGAGTGTGTCTGGGCTCTGAATTAAACCGTCTCTCAAGCCATTTGCAGGCCTTAAGTGGGAAAAGTGAAGGGACTGATAGAGTAGAGGAAGGGAAGCATCCTGTGGGCAGGAGCTCTTCACTACTGTAGTGCCTTGTTGGTAGTAGGTGCTTGGTTAAGCACTTATCGGATTGGTTTGGGTTGGATGGAGATACAAGACTACATTTGATAAAAGTTTATGGATTCTCATAGGCTTCTGTGATTTTTTTTTGGGGGGGTAGGGGGTTGTTTCAGTCTGATTTGGGTTAGAGATATTTGATAAACCATACACAGACATATACATTCTCCTCTGTATGAATGCAGGGTAGTGAAGAGGAAGACTGGGTTATTTGGGGAGAAACAGAGCTGCGTGCGTCCCAAGGGGACCTGACTGTGGGCGGCCTCCCTTCCTCTCTGGGGCAACGGGGTAGGTAGGCTGCCTGTGACAATGCAACCATGCTTTTGGTTCAGCAACTCCCACCAGCCCCTGCTTGCCCCAGCATCCACCTTGCTGGTCTGGACGCCCAGCGGAGTTATAACCCAACTCGCCATGCAGCAGTCCCCTTTCTTCCTCCTTCTCTTCCTCCTCATCTTTCTCTGTCTTACCTCACAGGGTGCTGAGCCCCGAAGACCCACTGAGTGTGGAAGCTGAAGGTAGGAACAAGCAGAGATGTGGGGCTCTTGTCCCAGCTTAGCCACTAGCCTGTTGGGTGACCTTGGATGGTTTACCTCTCTCTGGCCTTCATTTTCTTCCTCTAAAATGAGATCAGAGATCAGACGAGATGACCCGAAGAAGTCCTTTCCAACTCTAGATTCAGCGTCTTATTGGGGAGGAACCAAAGTGTCTTCTGGGCTTAGGGTAGGTAGGGGTTGGGTTAATGATGGGGAGAAGAGGAAGTAGAGATGATAAAGAAAAATAATTCACATTTTAATTTTTATGTTTTCGAGCCATTTCTTCATGACAGCCCTGGGAAGTAGCATAGTGCAAGTATTTTTATTCCTCTTAGACAGATGAGGAAACTGAGGCTCAGAAAAATGATGGAACAGGGCCAATGGTCCTGTAGCTAGTGAGAGTTAGTGCTTGTTCTTAGGTCCTGGATTCATGTCACTTCTTCCTCACCCTTTCTCCCCAACTCTCTTCTCTCCACAGAGGGGAAGAATGCAGTGCTGCCATGCCTGATTGGCCCCAGGGATGGACCCTTTGAGCCCATCACCTGGTCTGGAGGAGGGCAGCTGTCCCCTTTGCAGCAACTAACCCTGAAAGGCCCAGGGTTGGGGGCCCAAGTGGAAGCCTCGAACATCTCCCTCTTCATCTATAATGTCTCAGCCAAGTCTGGGGGCTTCTACCTCTGTGAATGGGGAGCACTCACAAAGCAAGAGTCAAAGCGAGGGGCTGCTATCAGTATCAATGGCAGTGGTGAGGGGCCAGACTGGGGGTCAAAGTGGGGGTGGGGGTGAGGGGAACCTGAAGCTCTGGGCTCAGTAGAGAGGGGAGGGCATTGGGGAAGGGAATGGCTCTGGGCCTCAGTTTCCCATTCTGCTGAGAAACAACATTATGATATCATTGAAGGAACATTAGAATTGGGGTAAAAAGGCAAGAGTTTGAGTCCGGATTCAGCCACTTCCTCCTTGTGTGATCGTGAGGAAGTCATATTTTCCCTTTTTGGATCTCAGTTCCTTCATCTATGAAATGAGGGGTTCAGACTGGATGATTGATTAGGTCTCTGTGAGCTCTGAATCTTATGATCCACAGAATGGGCTGTTGTTAGGGGGCTTGAGGGAAGAGAGACTGTTAAGTATCTGGAGGGTGTTGGTGGGCAGGATGATGGTAGGTTGAAAACTGGAGGATTCAGAGCAAGGAGGCTAATAGAGGTATTAAAACTGGGTCTGAGGGAGAAAAGACTGAGAGCTATCTGCAGAGGGGGAGTGGATGTCCTTGGGCCCAGCTCCTGGTCCTCCTTGACCTTCCTCTGTCTCCATCTCTCTCTGTCCCTTGGTTGGCAGGTGAACTGTTCCAGTGGAATGCTACAGGCCCAGAGGGCTGTAGTCCTAGGAAAGTATCCTCGTCTGCGACCAGGACTTCCAACCTTCCAAGATCCAGGTTCGGAACTAATCCTGTCACTCAACTATACGTATGGGCTGAGGACAAACCTAAGCTGTGGAATCCCTTTGTTCCATGTGTTGACCAGAACCAAACAGAGGGTAAGTAGGGGGTTGTGGGAGGGGGAGGCAAAATGAAGTTTAAGCAGCTGTGGTCTAGGTCAAGGACATTGGGTGGAGCGAAGCTAGGTGGCAGAGTGGATAGAACTCAGGGCCTGGATTCAGGAAGACCTGAATTCAAATCCAGTCACAGACACTTTATTAGCTGTGTGATGTTGGATAAGTCACTTCATCTCTGTTTGCCTCAGTTTCCTTAACTGTAAAATGGAGATAATAATAGCACCTATCTTGAAGGTTGTTGTGAGGATCGAATGAGATACTATTTGTAAAGTGCTTAGTACAGTGAGTGTCTGGCACATAGATGCTCTATAAATGCTACTTATTATGATTAATTATTAAACAGCAGGAGCTGCGTTCTTCCTCCTAGAGTTCAGCCCAGACTGTCTCCTACACTTAGAATACTCCTCCATACAGAGGCGGTAGAGACTCAGGAAGACAAGAGTTGGATTCTAGCCTCAGGCACTTATTGGTATGATGCTGTGTGAGGCTGGGCAAGTAATTTAACCTCCATCTTGCGTGGTTCCCTCATCTGTAAAATGGGGATAATAATAGCATCCACCTCCCAGGGTTACTGCAAGGATTAAACAACATAATATTTGTAAAGCACTTAGCATTGTGCCTGGCACACAGTAAGCACTTAATAAATGCTTGTTTCCTTCCTGTCTACATGTGTTGACATCACACGGATCCTTCCAAACCTTTCCAAGCCTTCCTTGCTTCCTGTCTCTCACTCATCTGATCTGTGTTCAAGCTTTGAAGGGCTGTCTGAGGGAAGAGAGGCTTGTCCTGTTCCCTGGAGAGAGGGCAGACCTCGGAGAAGAGTGGAAGCTTCAGGGAGGCAAATTTAGCTTTGATGTCATGAAAAATTTCCTTAACAATTAGAGCCACTCCAAGGATGGAAGGGGTTACCAGAGGAAGGAGGAGGGTCTTCCTCACTGGAAGTCTTCAAGTAGTTGCTGAATCACCACTTTTGGGTATGTTTTAGTGGTGTTTTCTTTTTCTGAGGATGAGTTGAACCCAACAGCCAGCTAACTTTCCTGTGCTCCTGCAATCTCGTAGCACTTTGTATGAAGTTTCCTATGTTCTAATTTGTCCCCAGGCTTTCAGGAAGCACTTGCTTCACAGTAATCCTGTAAGGTCGGAAGTGCAGGGGTTTGTATTCCCATTTTATAGACTTGGAAACTGAGGCTCAGAGAATTGATGTGACTTGCCATGGTCACAGAGCTAGTAATAGAATCAGAGCCAGAATTCAAACCTAGGTCTCCAGACTCCAAGTCCAATGTATTGTCCAGGCTGCTCCCCGACTTCTTACCTCTTTGCCTTATCACATCTGAACTATTTTGGGTTTTAGTAAGAATTTTTATTTACAAATATGGAATAGTTCCATATTTCAAAAGACCTACTATTTCATCGATGGATGGGAGGCACTTTCTCCACCCAAGCTGTGGCAGAAGGAAAGGTGATAGTGCAAAGAGCATGGAATTTACATCAAAAGGACATGGGTTCGAATTCCAGCTTGGATAAATCTCTTCAATCCCCTCTGTGCCTATTAGGGTTGTTTTCTCTTCTGGAAAATGAAAGGGTTGGAATCAACTATGTGTTGTTAACTAGGAGGTCTGCGAGCTTGTTTTTTAAATATTTGGATCGCTATAATCCAGCTTAATTGTTTTCCTATATAATCCTCTGTATTTGATTGTATGCAATTAAAACCATGATTCTGAGAAAGGGTCCAGAGGTGTTACTTAACTGTCAAAGCAGTCCCAGGCACCAAAACAACCAGTGAAGAGCCCCTGGATTAGACGATCTCTAAAGTTTCTTCCAGCTCTAGCATTTTATGATTTTATGAGTGGGTGTGACCAAAACAACTCATCACCTGTTCCCTGATGTTGCCGTGAGGAGCCAGTTTGCAGGGAGCTAGGCTGGGTCCTGGGATGGCAAACACAAAGTCTGTGGCTGGGCCTGTTCTCCAAGCCTTTCCAGCTTGGCAGGACCTGACAGGGTTGGCACTCCATTATTAGCGTGGCTTCCAAGAAACCAGGGCCATCTCTACACCAGGCTTTAGTGGAGGTTGCAAAAGAAAAAAATATGAATTTACAATGCTGCTATGGAAAAAGCATTGAATTTGGGATTGAGGAGCGTGGGGTGTGAATCCTGGCTTGACATTTATTAGCTATATGAGCATAAGTGAGTCACTAACCCCCTCTGAACCTTAGTTTCTTCATCTGTCAAATGGGGATCGTAATTCTTAGACTTCCTACCTTGTAGGTTTGTTATGGGGAAAATGCTTTGTAAAACTTTTAAGTGCCATAGATATATGAGCTTTTATTAAATGAAAAAGGAAGGTGAAGGCAATTGGAAGCACAGATAAAATAAAGCAGCCTAATGGAGATTGGAGGATACCAAATCTAGGGAAAATTCCCCAGGGCCTTCCTAGGTTCTATGATTCTCTAGGCTTGGAGGTCATTCCTAGGGTTACTCCCATCTTGACCTCTTATGAGAATGGTACCTTTTGGTCCCATAACACTCTTTCATGACCTCTTCCTACAACCTGTCCCATCTCCATTGTGAATGGCCAATCTGAGTCCTATAGACCAATGGTCTCCAGAGATAGGGCCTTGTACCCCTGGGGGGTACATGCCTGGGGGCCCATGGCATGATCTTAAGGGATCCAAGCTGTTGAAGATGAGTGACAGATCTTACCATGTCAGTTTTCCTACTCAGTAAATTCCAATGGCTTTCTATTGACTCTAGGATCAAACATTATTTCACTTTTACCTCATCTTTTTTCAATATCTATTTTTGTGTCAAGTTTTATGATGTATAAGTATTAAATTAAATAAGTAAATACAGCTCTATTGAGGGTGCATGCTCAAAATTTTTTGATAGGCTATTCACTGCATGAGAATAAGTAAGTTCCCTGATTCTACAGTAAGAAAGTTTGCTCAGCGCATCAGGAAACCTTTCCATTGGCTTGGGGATGGAGGTTTTGTGCTCTTTTCACATTCATGGAGTCATAGATTTAGGTCTGGAAGGGACCTTAAAGGCCATCTTGAACAACCTTTTCATTTTTACAGTTGTGGAAACTGAGGCCTGGAGTGGTTGGGTGACTTGCCCAACGTCTTACACAGCTATAGTAGAAGGTAATTCAGTGAGCATTTCAGTGCAGTTCTGACTCCAAATCAATGCTCTTTCCATTTCAGCGCGCTGCTTGGAAAGAATCTTAGGGATCATCTAGTCCAGCAGTTCTCAGGACACTTTGGTCTCAGGACCATTGTACAGTCTTAAAAATTATTGAGGACCCCCCCCCAAAAGAGGTTTTGTTTACTTGGGTTATAGCTGTTGTTATTTACCATGTTTAGAAAGTAAAACATCTTAGCATAATTATGAAAATAGTTTTGACCTTGCAGACCCCCTGAAAGAGTATTGAGGACCCCCAAGGGCTCCTGGACTACACTTTAAGAACCACTGGTCTAGCCTAAACCCCTTCATTTTTACCAGTTTATAAAAACTTTCTTCATATCTCCCCTGCCTTGGTCCAGAGAGTGTAGAAAAAAGACATTACAAAATATATTATTATTATAGTTATGCTTCATTACTCAGAAAAAGAATAAAATCCAGCACCCTAAATTCACAAAAATTCCTTTTATTTCTGTCCCTCCACTATAAGCACCATGAGGGCAAGGCCTTTGTCTTATTTATTTTTATGTCTCCCCCAGTGCCAGGCACAATGGTGTGTGTATGTGTGTGTGTGTGTGTGTGTGTGTGTGTGTGTGTGTGTGTGTATGTATATATGTATGGTACTTGACTGGATTGTTGTGGAATTAGTAAATGTTTATGGAATGAGAATGTTTGGAGTTAGGGAGTTGAGAGCCTCACTGTCCTCTGTCCTGGTCAGACCCTATCTGGTATATTCAGGTGCCATGCTTTAGGGAGGACATTGATAAGCTGAAGAGTGTCCAGAGGAAGGTCACCGAATTGGTGAAGAATGTGGACATCATGCTATAAGAATGTAATGTGAAGGAACTAGAGATACTTAGCCTGGAGAAGAGAAGACTTAGGGGAAGACATGATGGCCGTCTTCAAGTATCTGAAGGTCTGTCCTATAAAAGAATGATTAAACCTTGTTCTTCTCATCCACTGAGGGGAGAATTAGGAGTGTTCTTTAGTCATGTCTCATTTGGGGTTTTTCTGGCAAAGATACTGGAGTGGTTTATCATTTCCTTCTCCAGCTCATTTTACAGATGACGGACCGAGGCAAGTAGGGTTAAGTGACTTGCCCAGGGTCACACAGCTAGCGTCTGAGGCTGGTTTTGAACTCAAGTCGTTTTGGTTACAGGACTAGCGCTCTATCCATTGTATGGCCTACCTGCCCCAAAAGATAGTGGAGAGGTTTGCCATTTCCTTCTCCAGTTCATGAACTAGGAGCAGTGGGTGTGAACTAGAAGGGAATGGGTGAGAGTAGAAAAGCCTTCTGACAATGAATGTGCTGTGCAAGAGCGGGACAGGCTGCTTTGGGAGGTGGGTGTCGGGCTCCTCCTTACTTGAGCTTTTGTCTGTTGACATTGATCATCTACAAATAATTTAATCTGGTTTGGGAATGTTATTGCTTACTTGTTTTATTGATCAATTTGGTTTGTTTTTTAAGTTTATCTCATTTTTGTTGCTATATTTTATTTTTACAAAACTCTCATTTCTGAATACCTTTCCACCTTGTAACAAAGATTAGAAAAAAAGAAAGTGGGGTGCCTTCATTCTATAGATAAGGAACCTGAGGCCAGATAGGTTAAGGGACTTACTCGAGTAAGGAAAACATGAGTTCAAATCCAGTCTCAGATACTCTCTAGATGGGTGGCCTTGAGCTAGTCACTTAGAAACCTCTGCCTCAGTTTCCCCAACTGTAAAATGGAGATCATAATAGCACCTACTCTTATGGATAATATTTGTAAAGTGCTTAGCACAATGCCTGGCACATAGTAGGTGCT